GAGGTTGGAGAGGCTGGACACGCTGCGAGGGTTGGCGTCGTCGCTGTCGTAGCAGGTCATCTCCAGGGAGCTGGACAGAGAGAAGGGCATTGCTCTACTTCTCGGTGGCCGCCCTGTCCCCTGTGCCCTGTCCCCTGGCGCGGCACCCCAGTCAGCCTCCACTCTGCACATGCTGGCACTGCCTCCACCAGGCCCTGTGCCATAACCTGTTCTGCCCTTCTCAGGGCCGCAAGTGAAGACGACTTCTAGGTGGCTGGGGAAGCAATCTAGGGTGCTGCAGAGGGTCTACACTGTGGCACAACTGGGTTTGAATCCTCTTTTTGCCGTTTATTAGTAAGTGTGTGTGAGGAAAGTAACTAACCTTACCAGGCCTCCATGTAGTCGTCTGTAAAATGGGGATAACAGCAAGCCAACTACTTCCGCCAGCTGTGAGGATCGGCAGGTGCCACACATACACAAGGTGCTCAGTAAATGGGAAGGGGCTGAGGGTCCTCTCTGCAGAAGTGGGAGAGACTGGCTGCCTGAGCTTGGGAGGCCTTGACCATTCCTTCTGGCCAGGGTGTGTCAATCACCTTTTCTATCAGAGGGCTGAGGGTTAGCTGCTTCCCAGATGCCAGGCATAGAAGAGCCTGGAGTGAGCTGTGGAGGGAGTAGGGAATGCTCTGGGAGCCAGAGGTGTCTGCAGATCCCCAGTGAGAGTGGTCCTAGAACAGGCTCCAGGAAGCAGGGGAGAAGCAGGGCCTCCTCAGAAAAGCAGCAGCCTTATCTGGACAGGGGGAGGACACCGAATGGATGGGGTGGACGAGGGGATGAGGCCAGGCCCGGGAGGCAAGGCCCGGATTAGTGCTAGATGGAGTGAGGCTAGGGGAGACTGGTGTCCGGGAAGGAGGCCAGGGCGGCTGCAGAGCTGCAGAGGAGGCATGGCTGGGATCCAGCTGAAGGGGTAGCCTGTGGGCTTAGGTTCAGGCAATAATTCCACCCAGCCTAGCAGGGATGCCAGCCCAAATCAGTCTTGGGTCACATCTCTGTAACTCGGCCTGACCGACACACATGGGGTTGAGGAAATGAAGTGGGATCTGTGGGCCGAGGACGCTGGGCAGCTGGAGTGGCTAGAGCTGGACCTGAGCTACCGAAAGCAAAGCGTCTTCACCTGGGAACACAGCCACTTCTTAGCCGCTTTGGGGGCTGGGATGGGAGTGGGACATCAATTTTTCTATTCTTGTTTTTGTAAAGTTTCTTGAAAAAAAAAAAAAGCCTTCTAAAATGGCCTCTACTGGACCTGAGAAAATGGGGTTTTTATTTTTTGATCAACAGAACTGCAGGAAGCCAAATGACCCTTGAAAGCATGCTTTGGAGTCCTTGCACTAGTCCTGCAGGCCAGCAGGGGAGCCCTGGCTGGGCAGGGCGGTGAGTGATCCCCCCACAGCTGCTGAGCCTTTGGAAGGCTGCCTGACCCCGCCCACACCCAGCTCCTCCATGCCCAAGGCACCCCCACAGCTCATCAGGAGCCCCTCCTTTATGTCCTCACACTGTCTTGTTTCTGCTTCTCATTGCTGTAGAGACATCTCACTTCTCAGCTCCCTGCAGGTGCAGACTGAGTCATGGTGTGATTGACCACCCTGCTCACCCGGGGATTTTAGCACTTTGCACAGAGCTGGCACATAGATGCTACGAATGAATCCGCCAGGAGCCAACCCATGAAGAACGAATGAATCCGCCAGGAGCCAACCCATGAAGAACGTGTTGGGAAGTTCTTCGAGCAGGGAAGTTCTCATTGTAAGAGTCTGTCCAGGGCCCCAGGCAGTAAGTGCTTAGTAAAAGCAAGTTGCCCAGGACCATGAGCTAAAGAGGACGAGGTGAGGGCCATGTGGAGAGGGCGGTGGGGATCCAGGGCTCAGGCAGTAAATTAGTGCAGAGGTGTGGGCTGCACTGAGTGTCTGGGTTCCTCAGTTCTGCTCCTGGCCCGCCCCACTAGCTCTGCACTCAGAAGCGCCTCTTCCCGTCTCACAGCTCTTTCTTTAACTCCCAAACATGTCTCTAGAACTAAGCTGTCAGAAAGGACCCAAGCTCTGTCTCCTAGCCTCACACCCTCTCAGGCTGGCCACACTCTGGGGAGTGCAGAGTTTCATTTCCTCTCCAGCCAGGCCCCTAACTCTGACCCCCTCCTGGCTAGGGAAATGAGCCAGTAGAAATAGAGGAAGCAGCACAGGAAGAAAGGTTTGGAGTCTAGAATTAGCTGTGAACGCCAGGGTGAGAACGAATGAATCCGCCAGGAGCCAACCCATGAAGAACGTGTTGGGAAGTTCTTCGAGCAGGGAAGTTCTCATTGTAAGAGTCTGTCCAGGGCCCCAGGCAGTAAGTGCTTAGTAAAAGCAAGTTGCCCAGGACCATGAGCTAAAGAGGACGAGGTGAGGGCCATGTGGAGAGGGCGGTGGGGATCCAGGGCTCAGGCAGTAAATTAGTGCAGAGGTGTGGGCTGCACTGAGTGTCTGGGTTCCTCAGTTCTGCTCCTGGCCCGCCCCACTAGCTCTGCACTCAGAAGCGCCTCTTCCCGTCTCACAGCTCTTTCTTTAACTCCCAAACATGTCTCTAGAACTAAGCTGTCAGAAAGGACCCAAGCTCTGTCTCCTAGCCTCACACCCTCTCAGGCTGGCCACACTCTGGGGAGTGCAGAGTTTCATTTCCTCTCCAGCCAGGCCCCTAACTCTGACCCCCTCCTGGCTAGGGAAATGAGCCAGTAGAAATAGAGGAAGCAGCACAGGAAGAAAGGTTTGGAGTCTAGAATTAGCTGTGAACGCCAGGGTGAAAATCACCTTGCAGGAAGCACTCCCTGGACAGCAGGCTCTCGGGGACAAAGCCTGTGCTCGTTCTGTGGGCCACTGCCCTGCACCGTGCCTGGCACACAGCTGCCCCAGGTTCTGAGCCTGTGAGTGCAGAGCCATCCTCCCTGGCCTCTGAGACTCTGGCTGGTGCCTCCTCCTCCCCAGCCTCAGCTGCCCCTTCTCCAGTCTAAGGGACGTGATCTCTCCTGACTCCTCCCAGGGCCCAGGGAGAGGGTGATTGATGGAAAACTTTTAAAAGTAAAAGAGCCATAAAAAGCCAGGGAGATATTGTTTTGGCTATCCAAGTGTGGAACGGGAATAATATAAACCAAAGGCAATGAGGGGAAGTGGCTCTGGGTCCACAGTAAACAGAAAAACCAGCTTCAGGGCAATCGGTTCCCTTCCCATAAAGGGAGACAGAAGCCAGAGGCCTGTGGCTCTCCCCTTCGCCCCCTACCCAAACCAGCTTTAGGCAAGAGGCTTCAGGGCCCCCATGCCCCAGGAGCAGAAAACATACAGGGCTGTTTGAGGTCAAGCCGTCCTACTTAGCTGGGGGCCAGGGCGGCTGTTCAGTCAGTGGCCCCAAGAGGCTGGAGTTGCTACTTCTGCCCTTCCCCTGTGGGTGAGTCATTTGGGGTGTGACCCTCCCAGCAACTAAGCACTTTCTGGCTTCTTTGGCATGAAGCTAGCGGGTGACTTGGCGCTGAGATGTTCCAATAGCCTCCCTGGTGGGGGAAGGAAGGTGTTCAAGATTTCACTCACAGGGTCCCTAAACTGATGAGCCACGCTGGACCAGATCCCTGCTCCACTTGAGCTGCTGCTCTGGGCTGTGAAGATAGAGGTCAGGGACAGATGCAAGGGGCCCAGGGAGGCCCTGGGGCCCCATCATCCACTGCTTTTTTCTTGGACCTTCTTGATCAACTTCCTTTTGATAGTAAACCCAAGTCTCAGGTCCTCTGGCTGAGGAAAGTCACCCCAGAGAGTGGAAACTTTGGTTTATCTTGTTATTTAAAATACTCTCGGTTTCTAGGAGTCCAGGACTGCATGTCTGAGATGGGGGACCAGGGCAGGAATGGTGTAAGGAAGAAGGGTGGTCTTCAGTAGGAAGAACTACAGCTGCTGGATGAGGCTACTAGTCCAACTCGGCCTACGTTCATGGCGACCCCGCAGTGGACGCAGATCATGGAAGGGTAATGAGTTCTCTGTCACTGGAACTATGTGAATGGGTCTGGACCCTGCTTGGTCTGGCCACGGACTGGGCTGAGAAAAACCCCCTCTCATTGCCCCATGTCCCAACTTTGTTCTCAGTTTTCCAACCCCAGGAGATGGGGAAGAACCTACTTCCAACCCAGCTGGAGAGCTTCCTATCCCTCACACAGCCTTCCTGCTCCACGCCCCCACGATTTCCCAACCCTGGCTGTCTGATCTCCCTCCCTCACCCCGAGAGCTCTGCCCCCCTTGGAGCTGACAGCATGAGCTCATCTGGGCAGCCAGGAGCCAGCAGGGGAAACTTTGAGTCATGGCAGAGCCTGTGGCCAGGACACTGCTCCCGGGGGGTGCTGTGGGAGGGGTGAGCGCCCCATGTGGCTGGAAGCTGGGAGGTCTGAAGAGTGAACTGGAGGGGTGCACCCACAGGGCCCATCATCTGAGTGACATGGCATGGGCTCCGCCGAGCACTCAGGCCTCCATCAGGGCTGGCTGGAGAGGCCAGAGGGCACCTAACAGACAGTGAAGATCTTGGAGTTGGGAGGGCACTGATCCTAGAATCTCAGAACACTGGGACAGGAAGAGAGGCTTTTGACAGATGAGGAGACCAAGACTAAGGAGGGAAAAATCAGGAGCCAAGATCCCACGCTGAGCTAGCTGGTGACTCCTGCTTCCCATCCCCTATGCCAGGGATTTACAAACCAATCTGCACACATGAAATCAAACGCCCGAGCACGGCACAGACAAGACACAGCCAAGATGACTGGAGTCCAGGTCCCGAAGCAGTGGCTTTGGGGCTCTGACACCCATGCACTGCAGCAGGGCTGCCTGGCTGACCACACGTACCTAGGCAGGGGTTTGGAGAACCCCTGGTCTGCCCTCAGAACTGGGGAGAGGACAAGGGCGGTG